ATCCTGAACACAGTTTACTGCCAAATGTTATTTCTTTTTATTGTGCTCAACGTGTGAAGCTATAAAGAGCCAAGGGTTTAATTCTTCTTGGCATTCTTTGCTATTGCATGACTTGGTGCAAACCTATCCCCTGTGCATAGCAGCCAAGGTGTGGACGGGCAGATCAACGGGGAATAAGACGGGAAAGAGAATAAAAAAGAAAAAAAAAATGATGCTTTAAATAGACATAAAATGTTGCTGTTGTGCCTAGGTAGATGACAGTTTACAGTAACTCAATTTTGATTTTCAGTACATTTCAAATAATATTCTCATACTTTTATCGTATGAGTTTAATAATTTTTTTTTTTTTTTTTTACTGTTGCTGCACAGGGTTTTGGAAGAAAACTGCACTACGGTGGAGAGGTGCGGCTCTAGGCGGTCACTGCTGAAACCAGGATGCTGACTCTCCTGTGTGTGTGCTTCCTGCTGGGCTCTACAGCAGCATCTAATGGTGAGCATGTGTTATTACAACCTCCTATACATTATTATTTCAGGTACTTATATAGCGCCATCAATTTACATATATATTGTACATTCACATCAGTCCCTAACCCTCAAGGGGCGTACAATCTAAGGTCCCTAACTCACATTCATACATACGCATACTAGGGCCAATTTAGACAGGAGCCAATTCACCTACCAGCATGCCTTTGGAGTGTGGGAGCAAACCCACACAGGCACAGGGAGAGCATGCAAGCTCCAGGCAGGTGGTGCTGTGGTTGGGATTCAAACCAACATCCCTGGTACTGCCAGATGTAAGTGCTAACCACTTAGCGACTGTGCTGCCCCATATACATCCCATGTTCTAGTGTCTATTATAATACTGATTAGTTGAGTTGTAAAAGTGCATGTATAGACACAACAGTTACTTTTTTTTCAGTTAGAGCGGGAAAGGTTTAAAATCCCTGCCAACGTGTTATCTCTGTGTGTGCTCCAAGGAAGATCACTCCGTTCTCTTTGTGTTGGTGATCATACCTGGGAACTTTTGAAAATCAGAATTTCTGAGAATTGGGGCAGGGTGGTGGGCTAATAGCAGAGCGTGTAGCAATGCAGCGGCAAATGGTGGATGTGTTAAAACTGTGGGAAGGGCATAAACCTTGAGCCTACGTACAGAGGGCAGGAGTCACACGTAAGGAATATACATAATTCAGGTGTCTGGGTTGGATAAAGTACATAATAAAGGGAACTGGGGTAGGTAATATACATAGTGCAGGGGTCTGGGGTATTTCATGTACATAGTGCAGGGGTCTGGGGTAGTTAACGTACATAGTGCAAGGATATGGGGTATTTAATGAACATAGTGAAGGGATTTAAGGTAGTTAATGTACATAGTGCAGGGGTCAAGGGTATTTCATGTACATACAGTCAGGTCCATAAATATTGGGACATGGACACAATTCTAACATTTTTGGCTCTATACACCACCACAATGGATTTGAAATGAAACGAACAAGATGTGCTTTAACTGCAGACTGTCAGCTTTAATTTGAGGGTATTTACATCCAAATCAGGTGAATGGTGTAGGAATTACAACAGTTTGCATATGGGCCTCCCACTTGTTAAGGGACCAAAAGTAATGGGACAAAATAATAATCCTAAATCAAACTTTCACTTTTTAATACTTGGTTATAAATCCTTTGCAGTCAATTACAGCCTGAAGTGTGGAACACACAGACATCACCAGACGCTGGGTTTCATCCCTGGTGATGCTCTGCCAGGCCTCTACTGAAACTGTCTTCAGTTCCTGCTTGTTCTTGGGGCATTTTCCCTTCAGTTTTGTCTTCAGCAAGTGAAATGCATGCTCAGTTGGATTCAGGTCAGGTTGGACTTGGCCATTGCATAACATTCCACTTCTTTCCCTTAAACTCTTTGGTTGCTTTTGCAGTATGCTTTGGGTCATTGTCCATCTGCACTGTGAAGCGTCCAATGAGTTGTGAAGCATTTGGCTGAATATGAGCAGATAATATTGCCCGAAACACTTCACAATTCATCCGGCTGCTTCTGTCAGCAGTCACATCATCAATAAATACAAGAGAACCAGTTCCATTGGCAGCCATACATGCCCACGCCATGACACTACCACCACCATGCTTCACTGATGAGGTGGTATGCTTAGGATCATGAGCAGTTCCTTTCCTTCTCCATACTCTTCTCTTCCCATCACTCTGGTACAAGTTGATGTCGGTCTCATCTGTCCATAGGATGTTGTTCCAGAACTGTGAAGGCTTTTTTAGATGTCGTTTGGCAAACTCTAATCTGGCCTTCCTGTTTTTGAGGCTCACCAATGGTTTCCATCTTGTGGTGAACCCTCTGTATTCACTCTGGTGAAGTCTTCTCTTGATTGTTGACTTTGACACACATACACCTACCTCCTGGAGAGTGTTCTTGATCTGGCCAACTGTTGTGAAGGCTGTTTTCTTCACCAGGGAAAGAATTCCTCGGTCATCCACCACAGTTATTTTCTGTGGTCTTCCGGGTCTTTTGGTGTTGCTGAGCTCACCGGTGCGTTCCTTCTTTTTAAGAATGTTCCAAACAGTTGTATCTCTCTGAAGGGTTTGTTTTGTTTTTTCAACCTAATGATGGCTTGCTTCACTAATAGTGACAGCTCTTTGGATCTCATCTTGAGAGTTGACAGCAACAGATCCCAAATGCAAATAGCACACTTGAAATGAACTCTGGACCTTTTATCTGCTGATTGTAATTGGGATAATGAGGGAATAACACACACCTGGCCATGGAACAGCTGAGAAGCCAATTGTCCCATTACTTTTGGTCCCTTAACAAGTGGGAGGCACATATGAAAACTGTTGTAATTCCTACACCGTTCACCTGATTTGGATGTAAATACCCTCAAATTAAAGCTGACAGTCTGCAGTTAAAGCACATCTTGTTCATTTCATTTCAAATCCATTGTGGTGGTGTATAGAGCCAAAAATGTTAGAATTGTGTCCATGTCCCAATATTTATGGACCTGACTGTAGTTCCGGGGTCTGGGGCAGTTAATGAACATAGTTTCGGGGTCTGGGGTAGTTAATGAACATAGTTCCGGGGTCTGGGGTAGTTAACGTACATAGTGCAGGGATCTAAGGTAGTTAATGTGCATAGTGCAGGGGTTTGGGGTAGTTAATGAACATAGTAAAGGGATCTAAGGTAGTTAATGTACATAGTGCAGGGGTTTGGGGTAGTTAATGAACATAGTGCAGGGGTCAGGGGTAGTTAATGAACATAGTGAAGAGATCTAAGGTAGTTAATGTACATAGTGCAGGGGTTTGGGGTAGTTAATGAACATAGTGCAGGGGTCTGAGGTAGTTAATGAATATAGTGCAGAGATCTGAGGCAGGTAATGAACATAGTGAAGGGATCTAAGGTAGTTAATGAACATAGTGCAGTGATATGGAGTAGTTAATGAACACAGTGAGGGGGTCATGGGTAGGTAATGTACATAGTGTAGGGGTCTGAGGTAGTTAATAAACACAGTGCAGGGGTCATGGGTAGGTAATGTACATAGTGTAGGAGTCTGAGGTAGTTAATGAACACAGTGCAGGGGTCTGGGGTAGGCAATGTACATAGTGCAGGAAATGAAGGGATATCTTCCAAATCAGTTTTGGCTTAGATAGATATACTTTAAAGTGGAACTTTTAAAACAAGAACTTGTGAGCCGGAAGGTTTTATTTTTATTACTTTGTCTTTTCTGCAATATAAGCTTCTTACCTTCCTGCTATCAAACGTTTCTTACAATGTGAAGTGAGTTGCGCATGCACAGCTCAGTGTGTGTGCTCAGTATGACCCCATACGCATGTGGCATGTGTGAGAATTACATCATCCCAGGCCAGCCAATCAAATGGCTGAAGATGCTGAACCCAGATGAAGACCTGGAGATGATATCGGCTCTGGCAAGGGAACCTGAAGACATTGCATCGCTAAGGGCGGAGGTGAGTATTGAGGAAGTTTAGTTATGCTTTAAGCTCCAGCTTGCTCCACCAGGCCCATCACCATACCTGGGAACCTTGGGTAGTGGGCACTGTATGGGTGGCAGTTTCATTTGTATGAGGTGGAGTCCCCAAGTACATAGCACCCCAATACCCCCAGTGCATACCAATGTAGAAGAAGCCAGCACCAGTTTATTGGGACCAGTTGTAGAAGGTTCCCAGTCTCTGCTTCTCTTCCTCTAGTTCAGGATACACCGCCTGACAACTGTCATCCTCATCCCTGGGCAGTCTCTGCAGCGAGCCCAGAATCTGCCCACCCACTGAGTTGGTGGCCCCTGCTGAGAAAGTGTTGCTCACATGTCTGCCCAATGCAAAAGGACAGAGGGGGAGTTCTAAAGAAGTTTGGATCCTGAATGATCCCCAGGCCCCCAGATCCATAGTTTGCCCTTGCAGCAGAATTACAGCACCCTGGCCCCAGATATAAAAATCGGGCCCTTGCCAGCTGCTGGGGGGAGCCCAGCCCAGAGGCTCACCAGCTACCTAATCTTCTGCATGCCATCATTAATGGGGTGCTGAGGTTGTCCAGGCTGGTGGCTTCCCCAGTAGCCCAACATCTCCCCAACATCAGATCACATCATGATCACATATGCCTCCCTTCCCTCTTCTCTCCACAGCGGCAAATTTCCTGACATTTCCCAACAGGCCAGCTGGTAAGATCTGGCAATGACCTGGCAAAATTTCCAGCATTGCCAGGTTATTTCTGTCCCCACGTTCCCCGGTATGGCCATCACCCGTCCTCATGTCTCACCATAGCTGGTCTAGCTAAACATGTGCAGATACAATATACACATTCATGTGTAGGTCACCCCTGTCTGACTTTTCTCCTATATCTCACTCTTGTAGTTCAGTCCCGGAGTTCCTCCTTCGCTGGAGAGTATGGAGGAGGTTGGGGGACAGGTTTCTCCTTCTCCAATGATCAATGATTTGGGCCAATAACAGCCATCCGCATCAGGGAGGGTCCCAGCTGTCTGAATGGGTAAGATCCTCTAGACAATATGTTTTCTTCTACACTTTGCATACATACAACTTTTTCAGCACATTTCAGTAGAAGGTATGATGTCATCAGTCTGCTGCAGGGAGAAGAAATCATTTCCTCAGTCTCCTCTCCCCCAGTGATCAGACTGCAACAGTGTAACTTTGTAGCAAGTCACAAGGTGAGAGGCTGCAGCAGGGGCTGATTTGTGTCAGACGTCTGTGAGCCCAGAATTGCATGTGTGCCATGAATTGCATGATTGTGTCATCTCTGAACCATCTCAGTCCAGGAAGCAGATGGTGTCCCCGGGTGATGCATGAGCAAAGATGGTCATCTCTCATTATGTTTTCCTCCAGGATCCACTTCAGATATGGTAACTACTGGGTGCCTTTTTTTGGAAGCCATTCCGGTTCCTTCCACGAGTTCTTGCTGCACCCTGGTGAAAATATCACTCAAGTGTCTGGGAAATTCGCTTCTTATGTGAATGAGCTGATCTTTGTGACAAGTCAAGGGAGGATATTCAAAGTCGGGCACCCATCAGGCACAAGCTTCAATGATTATCCGCTGTTCCAGGGCACTGTGCTGCGCTACATTAGTGGGCGATACTCCTCAGTCCTCAACAGCATCGGCTTCCACTGGGGTGTCCAACCTCGCTAATACCACATCAAAGATGGTTCTGATTGACCACAGGAACCGAGGAGAATTGGAGGCCACCACAGCCAAACCAGAAGACCAGGCTCCTTCAGTGCCCTCTTGGTTCTTTTCATTTGCTACCCATCCAACTGTCTCTACTTTACCTGACTCTGAAACAATAAAGGTTTTTTAATTCATATTTTATGTTTTTTGTGAAAGCTCTTGAAGTACTGTAGCTATTACTTAAAGGAAACGTTCGATCTTTCTGCTGTCTGTCTGCCATGACCTACCATGGTCTGTATAGCCCAAATTATGAGTGTGTCCGAAGAGACTACTGTACCTAGATTAAACAATATTGTCCATTAGGTGATTATCACAGGAACCACTCTGTTAGTCACCGGCAGCCAGGATTGAGAGCCAGCAGCCCAGCAAAGTGTCGGCTTCTGGACCTCAAAGCAGAGAACACATCCTCTGCACAGGGTATCGTGTTGAATCTGTCAGCTGAGTGTCTTCATTGACCTACAATTATACAGTTGGTGATGGTCTGTTAAGCCCAAATTATGAATGTCTAAGGAAATTAAAAAATATTGCCCATTAGGTGATTATCACAGGAACCACTCTGTTAGTCACCGGCAGCCAGGATTGAGAGCCAGCAGCCCCGCAAAGTGTCGGCTGCTGGATCCCAAAGCAGAGAATGTATCTTCTGCACAGGCAGGGCCGTGGATAAGGGTGTACTACCAGTCCTCCTGTACGGGGCCAAAGCCTGCAGGGGGGCCTAGGCAGCTGGGGGAATAAGATGCGGGCAGGAAGGGTAAACTTGGCAATTACTGGAACCAATCCCCTGTATGGCTCTCCCTGCAGCAGCTGAAAGCTGGCTTCTTCTCCACTCCCTCCTGCCAGCTTGCAGCTGCTGCAGAGAGAAACATACAGGGGATCGGTTCCAGTAATTTCCGATCACTCCATTACCGATCACTCACTGTGTTCATTCATAACTGAAGCACAGTAAACTTTTTTTTTGTGGGGAGGGGTGTGGCCCTGTTAGGTTGGCTGTATGGGGCCCTGTGGTTTGGAGGGGCCCTGTCAGGTTGGCTATAAGGGGCCCGGTGGTTTCTAACAGCAGCCCTGTGCATAGGGTATCGTGTTCAATCTTTCAGCTGAGTGTCTACATTGACCTACAATTATACATTTGGTGATGGTCTGTTTAGCCCAAATGATGAATGTCTAAAGAAATTAAAAAATATTGCCCATTAGGTGATTATCACAGGAACCACTCTGTTAGTCACCGTCAGCCAGGATTGAGAGCCAGCAACCCTGCAAAGTGTTGGCTTGTCCTTGTCCTGCGATCCCTCGATCCTTACCTTGTCCTACGATCCCCCGATCCTTACCTTGTCCTGCGATCCCCCGATCCTTACCTTGTCCCTGCGATCCCCCGATCATTACCTTGTCCTGCGATCCCCCGATCCGTACCTTGTCCTGCGATCCCCCGATCCTTACCTTGTCCCTGCGATCCCCCGATCATTACCTTGTCCTGCGATCCCCCGATCCTTACCTTGTCCTGCGATCCCCCGATCCTTACCTTGTCCTGCGATCCCCCGATCCTTACCTTGTCCTGCGATCCCCCGATCCTTACCTTGTCCTGCGATCCCCCGATCAAACCATTTCACCTAAATTTTGTCCCAAGTGCTTTGTCCTGCACCCTGCCTGCATTTTGTCTGTTCTTTCTGCCTGGAAACTTGAGAACGTCCATGGCATCCAAAAAGCGCCCCTTTAGGTCAAAAGCGGTTTTAGACCGGCTAGAGAACAGCGATAGTAAATCAGAACCACTTGCAGAATTGAGTGATAATGATTCGTGGGGGAAATTCCTCATCAGACACTGAAAACGATTTTTGCGACTGAGCTCAGTGATGTGCGAACTTGGTGCTTTATTTCACATTTCAGTGTTTTTGGTTTGATTATATTATTGAATTAAATTTATTATTATTATTATATTATTATTATTTTTATGATTATTTATTAAATTATAATGTATGATTTCAGGTTACAAACTTTATCATACCCGGGATGTTTACTAGACTCTTGTTCGGACAGATTTCAGTGAGTTATTCCTAAAAATTACAGGCCTACAATATAAAACAACACATTTCCATGCAAAACAATATACCGTTTTGACATTCAAAAGTATTGATCGGTTAGACCGCCAGGGAGGTTAAAGCAAAGCCTTGCAGCACAAAAAAAGTTGTTTTGACATGGATGCAATGGCAGTAAAAAGTGGTTGCATAAAAACTAATTTCAGAGAGGCACACAGGTGATCATTTTCTGGGATAATAAAAATAATAGTTGCAATCTTGCAGTGTGTAAAGTTTACAAATGTCTGACAGTAAAAGTGTTTCATACTGTTTAACAAGGCAATACATGAAAGTCAATATATATTTTGTCATGGTACTTTTATGGTCTTTATCAGTAGGTGTTTTCTTTACAGGTGTAACTAATCCTTTTCAACTCAAAACAGAAAAACTGGAGAAATCCCAGATAAGGAAATGTATCTGTTCTTATCTGATAGCTCTGTGTTCTTGTGACTAAACTGAGAAGATGACATACCTGTCACACCTTCTATAGATAGCTGACAGCTGGGAGACGCAACATACAGTATAAAGCATATGCCTTGCTGCTTTCATCAAGCAAACAGGTCAATAAGTCAGTGTGTATACCTTTAAGACCAGCATCATTCAAAACTAACATTTTTGGGGTGGGTGAGTGGTGTTCCCCCAGAAAATCACTAGGGCAATCACCTGCTACCCCTTAACCTAAACCTAATCTATCATGACGGAAATACTTTGACCACCATTAATGACCCCTCTGTGTAAAAAATATAATGGCAGCACAACCCTGTTAACCCAACCTGCAAACCTACTTTTAAACCTTAATCCTCCCCCTAATCCTCAACCTTACGAAAGATTTCTCTTCCCAATCCTTAACCTGACCTGCAATTCTTAATCCTCACCCTAACCCCCCAGCTAATTTATAACCCTAAACCTAATCCCTAACCCTCAGCCTAATGAATAACCTTCAAACTAACCCTCCACTTAATTCAGAACCATTAATCTAACCCATTGCCCTCAACCCAATCCCTAAATCTCAACCTATTGCAAAGCCCTCAACTTAATCCAGAACCCTCAGTCTAACCCGTAACCCTCATTCTAGCCCATTACTCTTTACCTAATCCATAGCCATAAACCTAATGCTAAATCGAATCAATAACCCTCAAATTGAATCCGTAACCCTCAACCTAACCCCTAACCCTCAGCCTAATCAATAACCTTCAAACTAACCTTCCACTTAATCAAGAACCATCAATCTAACCCACTGCTCCTCAACCCAATACCTAAATCTCAACCTATTCCAAAGCCCTCAACCTAATCCAGAACCCTCAGTCTAACCCATAACCCTCATTCTAGCCCATTACCCTTTACCTAATCCATAGCCATAAACCTAATGCTAAATCAAATCCCTAACCCTCAAATTGGATCCATAACCCTCAACCTAACCCATTACCCTTAGCCCAATTTGTAACCTTTAACCTATCCCATTGTACTCAGCCTTATCCGTAACCATTAACCTAATCCCTAACCCTCAGCCCAATTTATAACCATCAGTCTATTCCATTGCCCTTAATCTAATCTATAACCTTTGGCCTGGTCCAAAGCCCTCAGCCTAATACAAAACCCTCAGTCTAATCTGTAACCCTCATTCTAGGGGACTTCCCACTACCTTCAACCTAATCTATACCCATAAACCTAACCCTAGCCCTAGCCCCTAACCCTCAACCTAACCTACTTCCTTCAACCCATTCCAGAACTTTTACCCTATCTCATTAACTTCAAGCCAATCCGTAACCTTCAACGTAACGCCAACCCTCAGTCTAATCCATAATCTTTAACCCAATTCAAAACCCTCAGCCTAATCCAAAACCATCAGTCTAACCCCCAACCCTCATTCTAGCTCGATACCCTCAAACTAATCCATAACCATAAACCGAAACCCTAACCCTCAACCTAATCCAAAACCCTCAGTTTAACCCCTAACCCTCATTCTAGCCCATTACCCTCAACCTAACCCATAACTATAAATCTAACCTTAAATCTAATCCCTGACCCTCAACCTAAGCCATAACCCTAAAGAGTACCCTAAATCTAATCCCTAACCCTCAAACTGGATCCATAGCCCTTAGCCTATCCCATTACCCTTAACCCATTCCATAACCTTTAACCTATCCCATTATACTCAGCCTTATCCATAACCATTAACCTCAATCTAATCCATAACCCACAACCCAATTTATAACCATCAGTTCTAACTCATTGCCCTCAAATTAATCCATAACCTTCAAGCTAGTCCAAAGCCATCAGCCTAATTCAAAACCCTCAGTCTAAGCCATAGACCTAATTCTACCTCCAACCTAATCCATAAGCATAAACCTAAACCTACCCCTCCAAACACTCAATGTAACTCATAACCCTCATTCTAGCCCATAACCCTCAACTTAATCCATAACGATCAACCTAACCCCTAACCCTCAACCTAATCCATAACCTTTAACCCAATCCAAAACCCTCAGCCTAATACAAAACCACCAGCCAAACCACCAACCCTCACTCTAGCTCATTACCTTCAAACTAATCCACAAACATACATCTAACCCCTAACCCTCAGCCTAATCCAAAACCTTTAGTCTAATCCAAAGATCCTCAGTTTAACCCTTAGCCCTCACTCTAACCCATTACCCTCAACCTAATCTATAACCATAAATCTAATCCTAAACCTAATCCATAACCCTCAACCTAACCTTTTACCCTCAAATCTCAGTATAACCCATTACCTTAAACCTAACCTATTATTCTCAATCTAGCCCACAACCCTTACCTACCGTAGTTTATGATACTAAAGTGTTTTTTTTTTATTAATGCATTCTCAATCTTAAGTAAAAAACACCCCAATACTTGTTCCCCCATCCCTAAACACTTATCTGGCTCCTCTCACAACCCAGCTCTGTCCTGGTTGCAGCACTGTTCTCCTCTACTCCTGGTCTCACAAGAGACACAAGCAGTCAAACTCCTGATAGTAGTGAAAGGGGGTGGGACTTACCAGCTTTGTGTGTGTCTATGGATGCACACAGCCTGGATTGGGAGCGCGCCTGCTTGGTTGAAGGAGTAGACAGCGCTGGCGATGAACTCCAGAAAAGGAGGTAACAGACTGCTCTGTGCGATATCGTCACACAGAGCAGATAAGTATAACATCTTTTTTTATTTTAGATCCAAAAACTTTAGAAACGTTATCACTTTAACCTAATCCAAAACCCTCAAAGAAAAACGCAACTCTTAATCTAACCCTTATCCTACAACCTAACCCATTACCCTCAAGTCTCAACCTAACCCATTACCCTCAAGTCTCAACCTAACCCATTACCCTCAAGTCTCATCCTAACCCATTACCCTGAAATCTCAACCTCTCAACCTAACCCAATATCATCAAGTCTCAACCTAACCGATTGCCCTCAAGTCTCAACCTAACCCATTACCCTCAAGTCTCAACCTAACCCATTACCCTCAAGTCTCAACCTAACCCATTGCCCTCAAGTCTCAACCTAACCCATTACCATCAAGTCTCAACCTTTCAACCTAACCCATTACCTCAAGTCTCAACCTAACCTGTTACCCTCAAGTCTCAACCTAACCCATTACCCTCAAGTCTCAACCTCTCAACCTAACCCATTGCCCTCAAGTCTCAACCTAACCCATTACCCTCAAGTCTCAACCTAACCCATTACCTTCAAGTCTCAACCTTTCAACCTAACCCATTACCCTCAAGTCTCAACCTAACCTGTTACCCTCAAGTCTCAACCTAACCCATTACCTTAAAGTCTCAACCTCTCAACCTTATCCATTACCCTGAAGTCTCAACCTATCAATCTAACCCATTACCCTCGAGTCTCAACCTCTCAACCTAATTCATTACTCTCAAGTCTCAACCTAACCCATTAGCATCAAGTCTCAACCTAACCCATTAACCTCAAGTCTCAACCCCTCTCAACCTAACCCATTACCATCAAGTCTCAACCTAACCCATTACCATCAAGTCTCAACCTAACCCATTACCATCAAGTCTCAACCTCTCAACCCTAACCCATTACCCTCAAGTCTCAACCTAACCCATTACCATCAAGTCTCAACCTAACCCATTACCATCAAGTCTCAACCTCTCAACCTAACCCATTACCCTCAAGTCTCAAACTAACCCATTACCATCAAGTCTCAACCTAACCCATTACCATCAAGTCTCAACCTAACCCATTACTCTCAAGTCTCAACCTCTCAACCTACGCCATTACCCTCAAGTCTCAACCTAACCCATTACTGCTAAACCAAACCTCTTATAATCAGTCTAACTCTTAACCTAATTTACGACCTTTAGCCTAATCCAAAGCCTTCAAACAAACACCCTATCTCTGAACCCAACCCATATCCCTCAACCCAACCCCAAACCCTCAATCTAATCTATAAACCTCCACTTTGCCCTCAGTTTGTAATCGAAACCAAGAATTAGGGCAGCAGCTGAATGCAACATACTGTACCTCATGTGTGATGAGCTGGAAAGATATTGTATAAAGATATCTTATCATTTATATTAATGGGCAGGCTTTATTCTTCTAAAGGTCAGCAAAGTGGCTCAGTGGTTAGCCCTTCCATCCTCTGTCCAGAGAGATGTTCTTCTGCCGGCTAACATTGGAGCCCTTTATGATTGGTGCACCTAAATAATGAAAGTCCCAGATATCATGCATGCAGTATAGGTGCAGTATAAGTTCAATAAAGTCTCGGCACAGGTGCAAGGTAGATGAGGTTCAGTATAATGCGGTATAGGGTTCATATAGGTGCAGTCTCTAGGTTTGGAATGAGTGTGGTATATAGAGTGTAGTATGAGTGCAGTATGGATTGGGTACACTTGGTGTCCTGCTCTCAATATCTCATTTCCTGCTATCAGTATCAGCAATGGGTGAATACCCCTCTCACCAGTTCCTTGAATGCTGCGGTGACCTCTTGCTGTAGAAGAAGGGTCCCCTCGGTCCCTCCTCAAAGGCCTCCAATAATCAGTAGTGGGAAGCAGAAGGTGAGTGGACATTTCAGTCTCCCTGCATCAGCGGTGCAGCTGCTGTGATATGGGCAGTGCTGTTCTGCCCCAGGGGGTCCCCGTTCCTAGTCTCAGGCTCAGTTCACTGCTGGTATGGCCTCCCACTGGCAGGTAGACATCCAGACAGAGATGCTCTCTTGGCACCAAAAATAAGAACTTTTCTTGGCACTTAAATAAAAATCATGACTCTAATCCTCCTACTGCACAGTGCTAATTGGGATCTGTAGTGTAAGGAGTCCATTGGCCCATTACACTGTTCAACAAATTTTTATTTTTTGCCAGTTTTGGAAACAAAAGGATCCATTTCTTAATGAATTTCACATTCTGAGTTCAAATATAACAATGAAATTTGTCAATTGGCTCTAGTTTTTCTGTAAACGGAAAGTTTTCTACTATAGGCGTAATGACTACATAATGCACAATAATTATATAGATAGATGTCTTTCCACAAATATAAAGCAAGTGATATTGACTACATAACAGCCTAAATGGCATAATATATTTCATAGGATTACCAAGAAAAATTATAGCCATAAGCGAAGTTGAATCATTTTAATACTTAGGATTCTCACTAGTTTTGTCTTCAGTTTGTGTCGGTTTTGCTTCTCTTGGCTTTTCTCTTGTATTCGAGGAAAGGGCTATCTCTTACAACTGCACGTGACTACACGCTTCAGGTTCTTCCTCACTTGACTCAACCACGAAGGATTCTGGTGCTTTAGGAATTGGTAGCCCCTCTCCATGAGGAACTGGACGTATTGCCGATGGAATATTTGGATAGTGCACAGATAACGTTTTTCTTCTTATTTAGCCCTTTTACAATTGGAGGCACCATACAAAAGTAACAATTACTAACATGATCTGTTGGCTCTCTCCAAATCATTGGCACAGCGAAAGGCATAGATGCCTTTTTTCCATTCAACCATTGCTCCAGTGCCGTCCCACAAGAATTGCAGCATATATGTGGTGCCCAGCTCTTGTCCTGGTCTCCTATCTTGCAGCCAAAATACAAGTTGTAGGCTTTCTTAATCATTCCTGTTATCCTCCTTTTTTGTGAGATAAAAGTTATTTCACCGCAGATATAGCAGAAATTATCTGCTTTATTCACACAAGTTCGAGGCATTACTGAGTAGCCTATATAAGCATAAAACGAAATGTAAAGACGCTGTCCAACTACAATCAGCTACAGATACTGCAGCTTTTATGCAGTGAAGTGATGCAATTAAAGGCTAATATTGCATCATCTCAGTATACATGCAATTTTCTATTGGTCACCAGTATCAATTGCGCAATATGCAGCTGAAGTTGCATCATAATTTTGAATGGCTTACGTCATTAGATGGGTGAATATATCATGGAAACTAGAGCCAATCAACATTTTTTAGGGTCATTTTCGTTTTCAGCACCCCAAAATTATGGAAGATTAGCTAATTTAATGCCCAAAACTTTTTACCTGTTGAACAGTGTTATATGGCTGCCGTCTCAAACTACAACTCACAGGATTCTCATAGCTCTGCATAGAAGTCTATGGGCTTGCATGGCTATTGTTCTTTCCCTGCTGGCTGGAGGAGAATGGTGCAGCATAACATCAGCATCTCAGTAAAGGGAGAGAAGACTGTCTCCTTCTTCATATTGCTGTAGCCAAGAGCCTGGCTACATATGAATATTTTATACATAATTAATAGGTTCAGCATTGACATGGTGTGTATATTCCATACCTGGCTGAAGCCCCTGGAAGCTGGAAATCACTGAAGCAGACACCGCTACTCCAATCTCCACTAGCTTCTGGGTTCATGCTGAGCGGCACCTAACATATCAATCATAACACGTTTTAGTGCCAACGTAGCGTATGTTCAGTATCTACCCCTAAATGCAAATGAGAAGGTATCTTAATATCCATCCTCCTCAATACACGAGTCGCAGTGCGTTGCATTCAACTACTTTATATGGTACAGAAAGGAGAATTCGGGAAGTGAAGGGAAGAAAATGTTAACATAACAACAAATGAGGATCAATAAAAGTTACACATTACCTTTTATATACTTTTCAGATGCCTATCATACATCAGACTGAGGAGGAATGGGGAGGTGGTGGTATGGATGGGGTTAATGGGACATCAATGAATTGGGTTATCATATGACATCATTGAATTCTTTTGGATTATTGCCCATACAACATATGGCAGCTACTGTAGGTGTGATTAGTATACACACAGCTATCTATATATATATATATATATCAGGAGAAGGAGAGATAAGTGCATCCAGTCACCAGGTGAGGACAGGTGAGCGATGGAGACATACAAGGACAGGGCTGTTATAATATATAGGAGGACATACAAGGACCATCTCCTGCAATATGTCTGCAGTCTCTGACCATCTCCTGTACCATGCATGCAGTCTCTGACCATCACCTATAATATGTCTGCAGTCTCTGACCACCTCCTGTACTATGTCTGCAGTCTCTGACCATCTCCTGTACTATGTCCGCAGTCTCTGACCATCTTCTGTAATATGTCTGCAGTCTCTGACCACCTCCTGTACTATGTCTGCCGTCTCTGACCATCTCCTGTACTATGTCCGCAGTCTCTGACCATCTCCTGTACTATGTCTGCAGTCTCTGACCATCTCCTGTAATACGTCTGCAGTCTCTGACCATCTCCTGTAATACGTCTGCAGTCTCTGACCATCTCCTGTAATATGTCTGCAGTCTCTGACCATCTCCTGTATTATTTCTGCAGTCTGTGACCATCTCCTGTAGTATGTCTGCAGTCTCTGACCATCTCTTGTAGTATGTCTGCAGTCTCTGACCATCTCCTGTAATATGTCTGCAGTCTCTGACCATCTCCTGTAATATGCCTGAAGTCTCTGACCATCTCCTGTACTATGTCTGCAGTCTCTGACCATCTCCTGTAATATGTCTGTAGTCTCTGACCATCTCCTGTACTATGTCTGCAGTCTCTGACCATCTCCTTTACTATATCCGTAGTCTCTGACCATCTCCTGTAATATGTCTGCAGTCTCTGACAGCTTTCTGTAGTACTGTATTCTCTGAAAATTATGTGCAGTCCTCTGGTGATGTCGGCAGCCACACTTAAAGAGGAATTCCAGCCGCTTTCAGAAAATGAAAAAGTAAAAGTCAGCAGCTAAGTTTTTGTCGCGTTTTCCATTGATTTCAATGAGGAGGTGCGTTTTGGTGCATTTTTTGTTTTACCGCACCAAAAATGTAACAAACAGGATCTTAAAAAATGCACCAGACCAGCAACGAATCAGTGTGAAGAGTTCCATAGGAATACCTGGTCACGTATTTTTCTTCTGCTTTTTTTTACGCAGAAGAAAAATGGATCAGCGTGGAAGAAGCGTTAATGTTGAACTATTGACAGGAACTTGATACAATGTACTGCTCGGGTAATGAATTTTATTGACCGGCCAATTACATTTTCTTCCATTAGAGGTCCGAATCTCATGTTTGTGTGATAATCCAGATCCTTCACATCACAGCCGCCCTCTCGTCCTCTTAGGATAGGTTCTCATCTCCGCAGCGCGGGAACGCACATGAAATCGCACGTGTCACGGAGGGACACACTGCACCAGCAGACGTGCCATTGACTCTGAATGGCGACCCCACATATCGGCACTTGTGGCATGTTTTCACGCATGCCAAACCACATGTTGCTGCACCAGGCGGCTGGATGTGACGCCATTTTATAAAAAGGGTCAGAGAATCCTTTCCACACGTTTCTCCCAGGTAGTGGAATGCATTATAATGGATGGGCTGACCTGCCCATGACAAGAGCGTGCAAATGCGCATGCGCAGAATTGAACCAAGCCTCATATCACAATCATACTCTTACATCAGTGTCCTCAAGCCCCACTGCACATCATAGTCCCCCTTGACATGACAGTCCCCCCCCCCCTTCATATCAAGAATCCCCTTACCTCTTCACAGCAGTATTCTCAGCTCCTCTACCCCCCACATTACAGTCCTCAGCCCTCCCCCCATCACTGTCCTCAGCCCCCCACATCACTGTCCTCAGCCCCCACCCCACATTACAGTCCTCTGCCCTCCCCCCATCACTGTCCTCAGCCCCCACCCCACATTACAGTCCTCTGCCCTCCCCCCATCACTGTCCTCAGCCCCCCACATCAGTGTCCTCAGCCCCCCACCCCACATTACAGTCCTCAGTCCCCCCTTACATTACTGTCCTCAGCCCCCCACCCCACATTACAGTCCTCAGCCCCCCTTAAATTACTGTCCTCAGCCCCCCCTTTATATCACTGTCCTCAGTACATTACTGTCCTCGCCCCCCACATTACATTCCTCAGCCCCCCTTACATTACTATCCTCAGCCCCTTACATTACTGTCCTCAGACCCCTACCCCACATTACATTGGTGATCAGTGGGAAGAATGTCCCTTACATTGGGGGTCAGTGGGAAGAATGTCCCTTACATTGGGGGTCAGTGGGAAGAATGTCCCTTACATTGGTGATCAGTGGGAAGAATGCCCCTTACATTGGGGGTCAGTGGGAAGAATGTCCCTTACATTGGAGGTCAGTGGGAAGAATGCCCCTTACATTGGGGGTCAGTGGGAAGAATGTCCCTTACATTAGTGGTCAGAGGGAAGAATGTCCCTTACATTGGGGGTCAGTGGGAAGAATGTCCCTTACATTGGTGATCAGTGGGAAGAATGTCCCTTACATTGGTGGTCAGTGGGAAGAATGTCCCTTACATTGGGGATCAGTGGGAAGAATGTCCCTTACATTGGTGGTCAGTGGGAAGAATGTCCCTTACATTGGTGATCAGTGGGAAGAATGTCCCTTACATTGGTGATCAGTGGGAAGAATGTCCCTTACATTGGGGGTCAGTGGGAAGAATGTCCCTTACATTGGGGGTCAGTGGGAAGAATGTCCCTTACATTGGGGGTCAGTGGGAAGAATGTCCCTTACATTGGGGATCAGTGGGAAGAATGTCCCTTACATTGGTGGTCAGTGGGAAGAATGTCCCTTACATTGGGGGTCAGTGGGAAGAATGTCCCTTACATTGGTGGTCAGTGGGAAGAATGTCCCTTACATTGGGGATCAGTGGGAAGAATGCCCCTTACATTGGGGGTCAGTGGAAGAATGTCCCTTACATTGGTGATCAGTGGGAAGAATGCTCCTTACATTGGGGGTCAGTGGAAAGAATGTCCCTTACATTAGTGGTCAGAGGGAAGAATGCTCCTTCATTGGTGATCAGTGGGAAGAATGTCCCTTACATTGGTGATCAGTGGGAAGAATGTCCCTTACATTGGTGATCAGTGGGAAGAATGTCCCTTACATTGGTGATCAGTGGGAAGAATGTCCCTTACATTGGGGGTCAGTGGGAAGAATGTCCCTTACATTGGTGGTCAGTGGGAAGAATGTCCCTTACATTGGTGGTCAGTGGGAAGAATGTCCCTTACATTGGTGGTCAGTGAAGAAGAAGAATGTCCCTTACATTGGGGGTCAGTGGGAAGAATGTCCCTTACATTGGGGTCAGTGGGAAGAATGTCCCTTACATTGGTGGTCAGTGGGAAGAATGTCCCTTACATTGGTGGTCAGTGGGAAGAATGTCCCTTACATTGGTGGTCAGTGGGAAGAATGTCCCTTACATTGGTGATCAGTGGGAAGAATGTCCCTTACATTGGGGGTCAATGGGAAGAATGCTCCTTACATTGGTGATCAGTGGGAAGAATGTCCCTTACATTGGTGATCAGTGGGAAGAATGTCCCTTACATTGGGGGTCAGTGGGAAGAATGTCCCTTACATTGGTGGTCAGTGGGAAGAATGTCCCTTACATTGGTGGTCAGTGGGAAGAATGTCCCTTACATTGGTGGTCAGTGGGAAGAATGTCCCTTACATTGGTGGTGGTCAGTGGGAAGAACGCCCCTCCCCTCTTGCGGTGGTGTCCAGACTGTCATAGACAGCTCAGAAAGGTCATTGGTCTCATTCTTTTAGCTCCGCCAAGTGGTGGCCCTGGTACCTTGCAGGGACCATTAGAGAGGTAAATCAGCCACATCTCAGCGAACCCTCAGCAACCTCTGAAGGAACCCTAGTTGAGAATGATTGGTCTATAATACTTTGTTCTCCCAGTGGTGATCTGTATTGTATGAATTATGGTTTTGGTTTACAGTAAATTATATTAATATAACACACAACTTCTAGGTGACACCTAAAAAAAACCCAGAATGCTGACCCTCCTGTGTGTGTGCCTGCTGGGCTCCACAGCGGCATCAAGTGGTGAGTATGAGTTATTACAGTGCCCTGTGCATCTATTTTACCACCACATGGTGATTGGTTCATGATGATGATTGATGATAATTTATTTCAACTATTTATCTAGTGCCAAAACTTTAGGCATCACTTCGCTAGGTATACAGAACCATTCAGCCCATTTGGTCAGCTGCCAATTATTCTACTAGTGGGTGTTTGGATTGTGGGAGGTGTAGCAATCGTACCCACAGAGATGGACGCGGTTCAACCATTTTGCTCCAACCTCCATCTTGGCAAAGGATCATCCATCTTGTACAAATATATCTTTTCTCATCCCCCTCCTTCTCTGAGATCCACACTGACATGTGATTGGGTGTGTGTTGGAAGTGTCACAGGCAGACCAGAGCACAGCAGGAAGCTCCAAGCTATAAAACCTCTCTGAGCTGGGTGCCAGACTGTCTAAGAAACTGTGCAATCTGGCACCTCGTAAAAGGATAACCCAAGCCTTCCGATGAGTTCAAAGACATTCCAGAGAAGTAATAAACTAGATACTACTTTTAAAATCCATTTTCCCCCTATGTCTCATATCTTAGAATATGAGAGACTTACCTAAAAACCAGGCATATCTTCAGATTGGTCACAAGAAGAAAAACCGTTTGATATGTCACAATCCTTGGCTGGAATATATAGGAAAGCAGAAAATTACAGCTCTTGAACCATTCAAGTATGTATCTCATATTTCATATCTAACTGTTCCGCAGATGCATCTGCATATTTATCTACTCACGGTTGGAATGTTAATTGTGCCTAGGAAAAGTTATGAGCCAAAATATAAGCTAGGAGAGATTTTGGTTCTAGCTTGGGTCTCCGCCTAGACACCCCTCCCCAAATGAGACATTGGTCCTTGGCTTCAGAGACACCCCCTGCTGGGGGACTACAAAATAGGCTGTCAGGCCTAAGAGAGAAGTTGAAGAATTCTCTTTAACATCAGAACCAACTTGGGAGACGGTGCCCTTTTGCTCTGAAACTTGATCTGCTTAACCCAGGACTTTTGGCAAGTACTCTACCTCTCTAAACTTCTTTCTGTTACCTTTTTGCTGTGTTATTGCTCTGTATATTTATATATATATTGGTTACATCTTTTTTCTGTAAAAATATTTTTATTGCACCCTTTTGACCTTTTAGTAATAAATCTTTCTTTCTGAAAGTGTTGAACTTTTTCTAAAGCTTCTTAATGAAACTTACGAATTCATACTGCTGAAGAGCGCTACCATGTGTGTTTAACCCTCTGTAAAGCCTGTCTGCGGTGACAGTGCTATACAGACGATTATCTCAACCATCATAGTGTTATTGCTGATATTGCTGAGTTTCCTCTTTCTCTGTACAAAAAGGAGGTGGTGGCAGTGTGAAGGGTTAATTGCGTAATTAACCTGACCCAATAACAATCGCTCTCAGGCTGCCGGTACATCGATTGTGGTCCAGTGAGCTGGAAAATCTTTGTGCAGGGTGCAGCTGGGCGTGGCATTGTTACGCACGTGACATCGTGGTTTTAGATTGGCTAGTCCTTTGGTCACGAGTTTGGTGAGAAGGGCTGGAGTCTGACGCCGCGATCGTCACAGGAGGAAGCAAAATTATTTCTAAAGGAACTAATTCTAAATAAACAAATGTACAAACTACATGCAGATGG